GTTCAATATTTCAATAATGTATAATTTGCAACTAATATAATCTGCATCTATCAAATAAAAATCAACTCCAGTATATCAGACCAGACTATTTCAATTATAAGAAACATACCTGTAATGCTTTTTGTCTTTTTAAAACAACTTAGCCTATACAAGTTTTTGCTAATTTTGAGGCTATAAAAATAGTTATACATATTATGTATATAAATAAATAAATCAGAAAGATGGTTAAGCAAATGTAAGCATCTTACAACAAGAGTAACTATTGATATTACACAACTAATTATATACCAGGTGTAAAATGCATAAAAAAATTAACTTAATCAGCCAGCTAGTAAATGTTATTATTATAATCCACCACCATTTTTTATTATAAAAAAATAATATTGAATTATAATCATAATATGTATTAGCTGACTAATCAAGCCTAATCAAGTATTGTAAAATAATTTTTTATATGTTTTACACTGTATATAAAATTAGTTGTATAACATTAATAGTTTTTCATTTGCACCTTACAAGATCTGGGTTAGTAGCAAGATTACTAACCAAATATAGCAATGTAAGAAGACATGTGGAGATTATAATGAGATTTCAAACAAAGACCCAAATACATGTGAGCATGATGTAAAATTAACTTCTACAAATAGGAATTATTAAATCTGAACAGTTAATCAGTTAATCATTTAAGTTGATACAAGTTAACAGATCATAAAGCAAGCTAAACAAGAACTTGCTTATTAACTTTCAAAATCATGCAACTAGTCAAAAACAAGTTTGGTAGCTATCTAGCCTAAGCAGGAATAAACAAGATTGCATGGGATAGCATATATTGCAGAGAAGATAAAAATAATTTAATTAACTACTCTGTTAGAAATTATTAATAATTACTAACCCTATTATATAGCAGGATAAAGATCAAACAATTCATGATTGTGAAAGCAAGTTCATACCCAAATCTATTCACTCAAATAAAATTCTGCTATTTTGTTATTTCTTTTAAACTTAATATCTAGCTAGCTTGCTTTATGTAGTATGAAAGACCACTGGCTAATAATAAGCATTCCAAATTATGCTGATAATAGTTATAACTGGTACAAATTGAGATTGCTATTTCTGTATTAATTGTATTAATATATACTACTGTATATTATTAATAAAAATTCATTTAATAAAGTTAAATACATATCTGGCTCTGGCAGTCAGATACTTTTAAATAAATATATTACATGCGTATAATGATTTTTAAATATAAGTATAAAGTAATCAATAATTAGTAATTCAATTAGTAATATAAATATAATTACAGTATAAAGTTGTTATTATGAATAATTGATTTTATAGTAGATAATCTGTAGACATGTTCTTCATAAGAAACTACTGTATATTAATAATAAGAAAAATTATGAACCTAGTATAACCACTATGATTATTTACATACAAAATTAGAATTAATTACTAAAATTTTAATAACACATATATTAGTTATAGATAATAATAAGTTAATAATAACAATATTTGTTTATTATATTGTAACTTAATAACAAGTATCATTTAAAAATTTTCTTACTAAATATTTTATTAATGGAATCTGACTATTCAACCCAAATGAATTTAAAAAAATATTTACTTGCTAAATAATAAATATAAATTAATGAAATTGAAACCAATAAAGAATTATATATCAAATGCTTAACTTGTATAAATAAAAGCAAAAAACAGAACTGTTAAGAGCAAAGAATAAATAATATTTATGAATTGCAAGAAAGTGCTATAGAACCTGAAGATACCAAAGATGTAGTTTATAAATAACTTATAAATAATATAAAAAAAGAAAGTGCATGAATGGATCTTAATACATTTAGAAATCTATCAAATCAAACTGATAAAATTAGAAAATATTAAATTATATACATATTTAATAGTGATTGTGACTTAGATTGTAAGACATTATAGAAAGGTGATAGATATTTTTATTATAAGTATTATATTATTCACTTATTAGTGTAATTGCCATTAAGAGTTTGAAAAAAAGACAAAAAAGTTTAGACAATTATAAACATATAATTCAGAAGCATTTTAAAAAATATAATTGCCTCATTCTTCAAAAAGGTTTGATAAGTTCTTTATATTTTTCCAATTTAGATTTAATAAAATTTATATTATTCTATTAATTGAAGAAGCAAAAAAAGCTATTAGAAGAAAATTTACATATTATCTGATAATATACAACTTCTACAACAATTACTTCAATAGTTCTTAATAATAATAATAATATTGTAGAAAGTTTAATACAAGAAATTCTTTATAAATATAACTTATTTATTGTTTTTATCAAATTAAAAATATCTAAATTTGATATTAATACTATTCTAATATAGATACTTGTCCTTCTTGAAAGTCTTATAGCCTTTTATAACCAAATTTTGAATCAATTTTACATCAATTTAAAAGATAATAGATGATATAAAGAATCTGAACCAAGTGAAAAACTTGGAATTAACAAAATAAATTACTCTTTTTTTTTATTAGTAAACTTAAATTCATGAACAGTTATCAAATAAATTTTAAATAACTATTTCTTTTAATACAATGAAAATCTATAATATAGTATATAAAGTTAAGTAATAATTATTTACCAAACAAATTTTGAATAAATTCTTTTTTTTTAATGAAATAAAAATTTTATATTATTTAATAATAACAATAATAATTTTGTATATTAGGTTATGAGATTCTTTTAATTAAAATTTTAGATCAAACTTTAGATAGCAATTATATAACTAATCGTACTAGTTATACTAGAAGGATTGTTTCAGAGTTAAGTAGATATTTGAATAGTCCTATTTTTGATTTGAAATTTCAAAATCTGAAAATGAAAAAGGAGTTGTCTGGAGATAAAATAAATAATTATTTTTTGATTATATATATTTTATATCTTATTATATAAACTAACAAATAACTTGTGCTTCCAGTATAGAGTTTAATTTTTAAAGAATTAAATAAGGAAAAGTTTGGTATTTTGGTGTAGATAACTTGGCATACTTAGGTTTTCAGCTACATCCTGTTAAATAGTACTCAGAAACAAATTATATTAACTATTCAATTTGTTTTATTAAGATGATTTACGGTTAATATATATTATAGATTATATATTATTCATATATTTTTTCTTAAACTATTAATTTAACTTTAAATATAAACTATAATTCAATATAATATAATATGTAGCTTAATCACAGATCAATTACTAAATTTCTAGACAAATTTGCTTAGAAAATAGTTTAATAATATTAAAATTTTTTATCAAAAATAAAATACACTAAATAAATACAAATTAGTTCTAGCTAATTACTATTATAGGTTGAATAAAGACAAATCAGGCTTTAACCAGAATTACATAATCTTGATATGAGCCTAATTTGAACTAGATATTTAGCAAAAATAGAAGACCTTTAGAATAAAAATCAGGTTCATATAGGTATTCAATACATATCATGATACTAATAGCTCAATTAGTAAATTGATAAAGCTTGCTTTATAGCTTTATTAATTTACTTATTGAGCTATCAGTATCTCGATATATATTGAATATCTATATAAACCTGATTTTTATTCTAAAGGTCTCCTAATATCTGGTTCAAATCAGGCTCATATTGGGATTATATAATATCAGTTAAAGCCTGATTTGCTTTCATTCAATCTATATATACTATATCTAAATTTATTATTATAAATTAATATTACCAAATATAGAAACAATATTAAAACAATTATTCTAAAATTATTATTCAGAAACTATTGTTTTTTATAGATAGGGTTAGTATTTTTTTGCATTATATAAGATTGATTTTTCTTTAATGGGACTCTTTAGTTGAATGTAGCTATTTGTAGAGTTGTTTAATTACAAAAGTTCAGTTCAAAAACTATCAATTTATAACTTTCTAAACTATTACAAATTTCTAACGTAAAACACTATTTTTTTTTGAAAAACTTTATTGATATAACAATCGGAATCACTGATTTTAATAAATAATTTTATTTTTAGAAGTTAATTAAACTTTTTTATTAAATTATTTAATTTGGATTAATTCTAAATATTAATTTACATTAATTAAATTAAACATTTCAAATTAATCTTTATTTATACATTAAATAAATTTTAATTAAATTAATTTTTAATTTATTTACATAAATAGTTAAACATAATATATACAAATTATTTATTTATATACTAAATTAATTATAAATTAATTAATTATTATTTGTATTTAATTAAATTCCTAATTTTTTTTATTTTAGAAATTAAATGTATACAATTAACAAATTTAGTCACAAACTCAATCTGAAAATAAGGGCCCCAAATTTAGTAACTCTGATCTGTACATTTAATTAATTAAAAATTTTTAAATATATTAGATATTAAATTAACTTCTAATTAAACTAAATATCTGAATAGGTTATTTATAATATATATATATTATAGCTTAACCATTTAGGGCTAATTTAGGGATATTTAGAAAAGAATATATTATTTCTTTTTTAGAAATTAATTATACTATATTTAGATTTAATTTATACTAATTTAGGCTTAATTTATCCTTAATTAGAAATTAATATTACCAAATATAGAAACAATATTAAAACAATTACTCTGAAACTATTGTTTTTTATAGTTAGAGTTATGTATGAAAAAAGGCAAATTTTAGAGGTAAAAGTATTAGTTTTATATCTAAATAAAAATAGAAATTAAGTATTAGCCAATCATATTTGAGCAAAAATAACCAAATTCTATTGGTTAAAAATTTGATATATATAATTCATTTAGATAGCTAAATAAAATTTGATTGGTTATTAGATGTGTAGCAAATTTTAATATTTTTTTATATTCTAGAGTTAGGGTTAGAGTTGCAAATTTTTTTTTATATAGAAACAAAAAATCTAATTGAATAGGTAGATAAAGGACAAAATTCCGAGTATTTAGACATCTAACAAGGTATATTTTATTTTAAATCTAAAAAAATAATTATAAAAAATCAAATTTGCTATTTATTTTTGCTTTTTTTTTATATTAGTTAAAGGTTATGTATGAAAAAAGGCAAATTTTAGAGGTAAAAGTATTAGTGTTATATCTAAATAAAAATAGAAATTAAGCATTAGCCAATTATATTTAAGCAAAAATAAACAAATTCTATTGATTAAAAAATTTGCATATATGATTTATTTAAGATAGCTAAGTAAAATTTTATTGGTTATTAGATGTGTAACAAATTTTTAATATTTGTTTATTTCTAGGGTTAGGGTTTGGTAAAGGTTCAGAACCTAATATTTCCGTTAAAGCTTCTTGAAAATCGTCTTCTTTATTTTCAAAGTATTCTCTTATTTCTTTTTCTTGATTTTCTAGATAAAAGTTACTTAGTTGGTTAACATGTGATAAATTGGGGTTTGTAGTAGTTATTGTATTTGCTTCGGGTGGGCTTTCTATTATATCTTCTTCTTGGTTATTAGGCAACGAGTGAGGGAAACTAATTCTAGTATTGTAGTTATCGAAACGACTCATTTTTGTTAGTTTGAATGTTATGAACTTATTAGTATAGTTGTCACTTAACCGATGTTTATCACCAAGAGACATATAAAGTAGAAAGAGAGTTTAGTTTATGCGAAATAACAATAGTATACTTTCGCTTTATTTAAAGCTCATCAGTTGTTAAGAATTTTTTTGCAAAGAAAAAATATTTACAAAAACTGTTCTACTTAAAGGAAATTCGAAAGAAAATACAATAAAGATAAAAAAGAAAAATTAAAATAAAAATAAAAATAGATAAATTAGATGTAACGCTAATTAATTAATTAATTAAAATTTAAATTAAAATTAATCTATTTATGGAAATCAATTTCTGATTATGCTTATCTCGGGATTAGTTTACCAATTTCGGATAAACTAAATCTCGATTTATATAAAACTCGGATAAATTTTAATTCTGATTATGTATATTATCAGAACTTTAATATCCGAAGATAGATAAATCGGATAAGATATATTTAAATACTCTGATTATATATCCAGTTAAATTCTTTTAGTCAGTATTATTTTGGTTATATACTAAAAGGGCTCAAATTTTAAGGACATTGCTTGAATCTAATTGGCTAAAAATTATTTATATATAATAGAATTTGATTGGCTAATATTTGCTTATATTTTTCTATTAAAGTTATATATATATA